GGGATGGCTTGCGCAGATAGCCTCGTGTAGCTTTGCGCGAAATTCAAAAAACAAACAAACAATCAAACCTTAAGTTTGACATTAAAAACTGATAGAAAGTTTTCTTGGTCTCCATTCAAAGCCAAACTTCTTTGAAAAAATGGTAGAAAATTCAGTGTATTGAATACTATACTAACAAATTAATATAAGTCATATGTATCATATCATGATAGTATTGAAGCACGAGGTAAGCATATCTTTAGTCATACAGAATAACATTACTGATATACAATAGAAACTGTACCTTATTATGAAATAATCATTGAAATGCCTTATCAGTCTGTGTTTTAATGGGAAAAGTATATAATATTGAGCGTAATGCATACTGAACAAGTTTATTGAGAGTGTTTTATGCCACATTTCACAAAGTTTATAAAAACAATGAAATAGAAACCTGAATTAAAATGAATGTTTAAAACTGGACATTAGAAAAACTCTTAGGGCTTTCCTTAAAGGATTTTATGTAACATTTGAGGAATATGTGAAATGTTGCATTTTAAATCTGGTGGGCTGCATTTTATCTGCTTAATATTAAGATTTTTAATGTATGCATAGTTGACAAATATTTTTAAATGAGGACAGCCTGTTGTTGAAACGGGTAACTGTGAGGGCTCATGTTAGTTTGTTGAAACCAACTCACCACTTAATGTTTCAGTAGTAGGCTTTTCATATATAAAGACTGTTTGTCAATTAATTATTACCTGCTAACCATGTATATACTGTGTGTTTGGTTTTCACAGGAGGGCGTTAATTGGCTGGCTTTTTTGAACAAGTACAAATTGCATGGAATTCTGTGTGATGACATGGGGCTAGGGAAGACTCTGCAGTCCTTGTGCATTGTAGGAGCTGATCATTACAATAGGGACCAAAAGTACAAGGTATGGGTTGCAATATATCTAGTAAAACCATGAGGGAGTGGCTTATTCATTTTTAACTGTATTAAAGATGAACATTCAACACTTTGAAGAAATTTTAAAAGTAGTCCTTGTTTTCAATATAATGGCATTTTTTCCATATCATTTGTTATTTTTAACCTGTACATGTATGTCAGTTTTTTGTGTTTAGTTTTTGGTATGGTTTCTGATTTAAGTTTTGCACAATTTTTAGTTTTTTCTTTTTTTTTTCAATGATACTATATGGTTTTATTTAGATTTTCTAAAGACAAAAATTTTAGCATGCTAATTGTAAGTTAAAACTGCTTCAGAAGTATAATTCTGTCAGTTATTATTTTGTAGTTGTAATAATAATGTTAAGATGCTCTTATTTCAGTAGTAATTTACATCATTGTCTGTTTTAAATCCTACAAATATTCATATGGAGAACTTTTCAACTTGTTTAACTATTAAAGTTAAAGAATAGCTCATTAATCATTGACATTAAGATTATGTATTTTTCCATAATTTAAGAAGAGCGTGTGTCTTTTATATGTAAAAATCATAGCTGAATAATGTGCTTTAACAGATTTATTGTTTTGTAAGTTTGTAGAGTTCGCATAATAAAGGCTACTGATCATCACCAATGGAAAGGGACTTGAATGTAATATTGGAATGTGCTACAAGTTCTGTCTTGTAATATATATATGATATTTATTTATATGTTTAGGAAAAGAAAAGCCCTGATAGTAAGCCACTGCCATCCCTGGTGGTATGCCCTCCCACATTAACAGGTCACTGGGCATATGAAGTAGAGAAGTTTGTTCATCCACATTACCTTAATCCACTACATTATACAGGTCCACCTGCTGAGAGAACTCGGTAAGCTAACAGGTCTAGGTACAAACTGAATGCATTTATAAATTTTTTTAGTATCTGAATGGTTCAAGTGGGTATTTTTGTTAGTAAAAAGTTGGTAAATGTTGATAACATTTATGTTATCTTTTGTAAAATAATAGTTACATTAAAGTCTGTATATTTTTATAACAAATAACCATTGAATGTTTTTGATTTCATATTCCTGATAATGTGTCAAATGTAATAAATACCTTTTTTTGTAAAATCTGTTTTAAACTTTTGTGTAGATGGAAAAGGAAAAAAAATAACATGAATGGACAACCAAAGTTAAAGATACTGATATTAATGTATTTTTATTTTGCCATAAGTAGTTTCTGTGTACTTTCAGGCTTTCAAGGAACTAAACTAATTCTTTCTCATTTAAGAATTTATTAAGATGATTGAATAAAAAAGTAGTAGTGTTAATGTAACATCATATTAACTCCAAAATCCTGTGACTGTTGTTAGAGTTAATTTAAATCATTGGATAAAATAATGTTAACTGTTTAGTTCACTTTATTTATTCATTAATATTTACATTTATTTATAAACTAATTTACTTTTGAAAATATAATTTCTTACTTCAGAACACAACTAACCATCACTGGCTATACATTCCCTTAGTTTGGATTTATAAGAAAAGATACTTAAAATTCAAAATTTATTCTCATTTACAAAATTAAACTGAAAATTGTAAACTTTAACTTCTTTTTTTATTTATTCCTTTCAAATCTCATCTTTTTTTTGTTGTTGTTGATTGTGCTTTAAAGATACTGGTACAAAGTATTCTGCACTATTCTGTTTGAGTCTATTAATTAATAGACAAGTGACTCAGAAACTCGTGGGTTTTGCTACCAAAGATTCATATTTCCTGTGTAACAATGATATTTATGACCAACTTTATGGTGTTGCTGTGGGGTATTAGCTCCACCACCTGCTAGTTTATTTCTATTTCATCTTGAAAAGTCTTGTCTAGAAGTATCCCCATTACAGTTTAAGCCAGTGTGTTATAGAATGCTAGAAACCGGGTTTCGATACTCGTGGTGGGGGCAGCACAGATAGCTCATTGTGTAGCTTTGTGCTTAACTACAAACAAACTAATAACGGTTATAAATCAAGTAACTCAAAAAGTATTTAAATAATGTCTTTCTACACCACCTAATTGAAATATATCATATACTGGAAAACAGGTGATTCTATTTAGGAATCAGTAAAGTTTTGCCATCAAGAATACCTTGAAGTGTAGCTGCAATATGTTTTTAAGCTTGTACGCAAAACACACTGGACCTGCTTACCAAATGTTTAATGTGGTATGCAAATGTAAATGCCCTAAATGTGCTTTAGATTATATTGTAGGTTATATCTACAAGATCATGTTAGTTTAAGATCTACATCATATTCAAGTATTGAAAAACATGCACTGTATGAATGTAACAAACCTATAAGTAGAGTGCAATTTAGAATTCTTGCTAGAGCCAACAATGAACAAGAATTGTGATTAACGAAAAGTATTAATTAATAGACTCAAATTTAAGTTGAATGAGCAGAATAGAGCACTTCATTTAGTATTGAACTTTGAGAGTTAGTGATATGTTAATCTGTTAGCTGCATGTTGAAGTTTTGGTGTCACTGTGAAGTGAACTTAAAATACATTATATCAATGAAATTTAAGGAATGTGTCTGTATGTCTTAAATGACCGGAACTATGAGCAACAAACTATGCACAGATAATATGCTGTATCTTTAAGGTTATCTTTCACTTGAAATGTTCTGTTGATTCTTCCTTAAGGTTAAGAAGCAAGGCCAAACGACACAATCTTATCATAGCATCATATGACATTGTACGTAATGACATTGATTTCTTTGGATCTATCAACTGGAATTACTGTATCTTGGATGAAGGTCACATCATTAAAAATGGAAAGACTAAGGTATTCATGTTGTATGGTTGAAACTTAGAATTTTGTAAAATTGTATATCAAATGTGTATTTTAACCTGATACTCCTTAACACAAACTTAAAATGGGGGTTGGGGTGACTTTGGATTGTTTTTCTCAGTTAAGATTTTATCATTATTATTCTTTATTAAAATTTATTTAGTTGGGGGCTTGTTTTGCTTTTTCAGTGAGCTTTTATGTTCTAAAAATTGCTTTATCAGCTTATGTTTTTGGTCTTGAACTAAATTATTTCATTATAATAGGGAAAAGCTATAACTTTTCTCAAGGTTAGATCTGTTAGATTTTTTTTTTCAATATACAAGGTGTTACTTCATTATTTTTTCTTATATTTAACAAAGCTTTATTCCTGGCATTTTAATAAATTGTTGAGTAGGAAATTTATGACAGTGATTTTACTGATTGGTGAAAGTGTAAATTATTACCTTGATGCTAGAGGATTTAGCATCTTTTGATTCTTTACTTTGTTGTTTTTATTAAATGAATGCATCTTATACTAGCAGTTGATTTATACTTTCTTTTTTTTAAATAGAAATTAAATCAGTTTTTAAATATTAACCAACTTTGTAACCATCAGAAATTATATACTGTATATTTTAATATGGTACATGTATCCTCATGAAAGTTGGCAAGTTTTCAATACATATTGCAAGTCTTTTGTACACAAAAGAAATCAGATTTTATCAATGAAGTATTTTTACTAAAGATTTGTCCATGAATATATGGAGTCAGTGTTGACTGTTCTGAGTGAAAAGTGATTTTCTTGTTAAGATTGAATAAATTTTTTTTCATTTAAAATTTGACTGACTTTGCAACCACCATAAAAAAAAATCAACTATCCATTTTTTTTCCTAGAATGACTGCAAATTGTTAGAGGAAAACTACAATTGTTTGTCATAAACAGCTTTAAGCTTGTAACAGTTTACATCTGTTTATACTTAATTTAATTGTTTTATTGCCCTTTGAACCATGTCTAATTCAGTAAACACACATAGTGTAAGTTACCATACTAAATAGTATAATGCAGGATCTGCTCTTGAACAACCTTATCTAACCTCATGAGTTTTTAATTTTTGCATTTTAGTTACATTTATAACAAGAAATAAGATATACAGAAAAAACAAGAAATACAGTACTTACCTTCAACGTCTTATTTTTTTTTGCTATCAGTTGCTGATAAAAATTAAACCTACGTTTTTGGGTGGTATTGATGGTACTAATACATTAAGTAATTATTTATTTGAATAATGCACCTAAGAACACAGAAGAATAACATGCACAAACCAAACAGTGTCCTATAACTACTATAATTTAACTGGCTTTCTAATTAAGAGGTAAAAGCTTTAAAATAATTCCCTTAGCTAGTCAATCTGGACACTGCAAGAGAAACTTTCAAACAAAATATGATATAGACAATACCCTGTACTGAAAACAATGTAACATTATACATCCTTTGGTACATAAAACTTTGATAGAAAATGTCAGAGAGAATTATTGATAATTTGTGAAAGAGAAGATGTGACAGGTGGGTGTGGCATGTGGGTCTGACTTTCTAGTTTATGTCTTTTTAAACAAAGAAGTTGAAGGCTATCATAACTAGACTTTGCCTTAGTAATATCTATATTATAGTGAATAATGTACATAAAGCTGTGTATTTTGGTGGTAAATAAGTTAGAGAATGGGCAAGACCTAGAGAACAAATGTTACAATTCTTATACAAGGAGAGATTGAGGATTTATTTAACTATTTTCTTTCAAAACTGAAAAAATTAAAACATATATTAAGATTTGATTTATTAACCACATTTTGATGTCAAGTGCAATTGCATACATTAATGATAATGTAATTTAAGTTTTGAATGTAACTGAAAAAGTCATGACATGCACTTTAACCTACATGTAGCAAGAGGGTTAAGTGCTAGTTTTTCTCTTCTGTAAGCTCTCCAGTAGATATGTCTATGGTGAAATGAATGTTAAGCATGTAAGAATCTGTGTTAAAAGGTTTGTCTCTTTCCTGATATTGCAATATACAAGTAGCAAATAAAGTTAATCCTTGTAATATGTAATTAGTTGTATGTGTATACCATGTATAAACTTAAAAGAACTTTGTATGTGCAATAATGAAAATAGATGTAAACTGAATGATAAAAACTGGCTTTAAATAACAACAACTATGACTTCAATTGTTATTTTGTTTTCCAGCTGGCCAAAGCCATTAAACAGCTTACAGCAAACCATAGGCTAATCCTTACTGGAACACCTATCCAGAACAATGTTCTAGAACTGTGGTCTCTGTTTGACTTTCTCATGCCGGGATTCCTTGGAACTGAAAAACAATTTACAGCACGTTACAGCAAGCCAATACTACAGAGCAGAGATGCAAAATCTTCATCCAAAGAGCAGGAAGCTGGTTTGTTAATGTTTCATATCATGTAATTACATGTGTGTTTGGGGTTCAGATACTGTCAACTCTTGTGTACATGTTTTCTGTATATCATTTTAAATTGTTAACCAGTCTGTTTTTTTGTTGTTCTTTTATCTCTTATACATTCTACAGTATCTTGACTTTTTATTTTTTTGTTTTTTGCTTTATAAATTTCTCTAGTGCTTGCAGAAACCTGGGATCCTAATAATGTTAGATTTCCACTGTGCTTGTATGTATGTGTAAGTTGGTCCAAAAAGAATAATTAATGTTGTGAATATGTATCTGTACATTCACAGGTGTTGGTTAAACAAAACTTTTAATATTATATGTATCTGTAGGTGTTCTTGCCATGGAGTCTCTACACAGACAGGTGTTACCATTCTTGCTGAGGAGAATGAAGGAAGATGTTCTGAAAGATCTTCCACCAAAGATCATACAGGATTACTACTGTGACCTCAGTCCACTTCAGGTATATCTTCTCATTAAATTGGGATTTTCACTTGAATATTTCTTCTCCGGTCTTTATCATCTTTATATCCAATAAATTCTGAGAACATGTTATCATATGACACAAGTTTGCTGAAACATTGCCAGCAGCCACTAAACACTAGGCAGATAAAGTTTAAAATGAAGAACAATAAACATTCCTGTAAATATTCTTAGAAGAGTATTCATATAACGTTTTTTAATTTATAAAGACAAAAAAATATTAACCAGTACATATATATTTTTGACTAGCAAGTACTTTCTGTAACTGGCAACAATGAAGTTGAAGTTAACTTGTCTAAGAATAAAGATTACATGTTTTTTTATAAGTGATATATATATATATATATATTTAAGTCTATATAGAAAATTGACCACACTTCTGTAAAAAAAACGACACATAACTGTAAATATGAAGGGTTAATTATACTTTATATAAATGGTTTGCATAAGCTCATGTGGGTGACACATTTAATGCCTTTATATGTGGTTGATGTGAAGTTCCTGACCATTTTAAAATGAAATGCTACTATGGGTAGACTTGTGACTTCAATATATATGTATGTATGAGCAAAAAAAAATTTTTCTGAAGAGAAATATTCATACTGTAAGCTATACACGTATTGTAGATTGAAAGACAGCATTTCAAAGAAGGAACTCTGCAATGTTCTTCATGAATTGAAAAGTTTCACACAGAACTATTTTTAAGATAGAAACAAGCTATGAAACCCCTTGCCCAAACCCAATCTGTTGCAATGACCTCATCAACAAAATGAAAGCTGTGGTCATAAAAGAAAATTCTCCAATCCAAAAAGTAATCTCAGTAATGAGCATATCTTCTGGTACCATTAACTAGATAATAAACAAGGTTTTGAAATTTGACAAAGGCTAGCAAACTTCCAGCCACATCCATGAAAATGGTTAATGAAGAAGTTGGAACTATGCAATCCCACTCCAACTCACCTTGATGCAACTTCTTTAAATTTGTGTGTCTTTGTCCTTCTTAAACTGTGGTCTTTGAAGCTATGTTCCACAAACAAGGAAATACATGGAAATTGCATAATCATCACATTTAATTTAAGTAATGATGGAGGAAGCACTTCCAATGGTGTGGAACATTATTTTAAAAATGTGACTGACCTCAGAATATCTTAATTTCATAACTTTGTACCAATTAATTACTCAGCAAAAACTCCATTTAGTTCTTTTGTTAATTTTGGCTCAACTATGCCAAATTTGAACGAAATAAGTTCATAAGATATCCTTTTTACTTATAATTCCCTTTAAAATATGTAAGCTTGAAGTTGGAAAATGGTGAAACTTAGTGTGAATGATTATGGATATTTTAATTCATCGTAATAAGTTTGCTTAAACTAGTTTTCACAAAGGTCAAAGTCAAATCCCTCCCAAGTTGAGATGGTACACAGGATCTGGTGCTTAACTTTGGCTCAGTTGGCACAAGCAGGTATCATGAGGAGGGGGTAAAAAACATAATTTATACTTTAGGCCTTATCACTCATTAAATATATATATATATATAT